GTAGTGCTGAATCAGTGGCGTTGCTGCATACTTTGGAGGTAGTGCTTTGATCAGGTCTGCGGGTAGTGGCTCTTTTGCACTCGCCGATCGGATCAGGCGGGCGTAAGACATTTCTGTTGTGAAGCCATAGAAGTCTCTCGCAGTGGCATTCACAGCACTTGGTGGGTTAGTGCAGCACATCAAGGTGGATATGGCGCACTCACAGAAGACCGAAATCTGACACCAGGTCATCAATCTCTGATGCTTCCTTCCGTCGTGCAGCTCTTTTGCTGATGGGTCTAGTTGCTTTTATGGTATCGGCAGACGCTCTACGCGGGGTCGAGTTTTCAGACATGTCTAGCATTAGAACGCCTGAAGACTTCCGCCTCGCCCGTGCTTCCTGGATCTTCTTCTCGAGCTTCTCGACTCTGGATTCCAATGTAGCAACATAGCTCCGTTCTTTTCCGCGCGCAAACTGATCGTTCGTGCTCGAGCACTCAGAGGCCCGATTAGACTTTTCACAGGCGGTGCATGCGGGCAGCTTTCCATCGCACTTGACTTTTGCGGCTCGACATCGCGAACAAGCAGCCACGGGTCTGCTCACCCGGAGCAGCGGCGTTTCCAGCACCATGTTCCTTCTATCTTAGGACAAGTAAGTATGCATCGCGTGGTCACCTGACGCTGGGCGAATTACAGTGCGGAAGGGTTCAGACGAGAACTGGCATAAAAAAGGAAAGCGGAATCAAATGAGATGGCACTAGGCACGATGTATGAGTATCGCTGTAGACTACATGTTCAAAGGCGGTACGGAGATGGAAAGCCCTTCGCCTGACGATCGATATAGACGGGACGGCACTTACCAGCTCGGTGCAATGCACGTTGGGGGTCTAGCGCGACGATGCAGAGATCAGGTCCGCGGACAGCCTTGCCAAAAAGGCGGTACAGCACGCGATGTATTTGGTGGTTTGGCGCTCTCGTGGTGTTGAACAGCGGGTTGACGGGTGGCGTAGCGGGCTCGCGGTACCCTGGACTTCGTAATGCCGCGGCTCTGTGGCCGAATGGAGAAGCGGCGGACGGCGGTGTTGCCCCGCTGAGTCGGCCAGGGAGAAAGCGATGCTGAAAGGGACGGGTGTGACGCGGTTGCGAGCGACGGGATGAGGATAGACGTGTGCTTGGCCGAGCGTTCGAGGCCCAATTCCAGGAGGCAGCCTATCAAGGGCCCGGTCGCGCTTGATGCCCACGCTGCACGTCTTTCTTCGGCTCCCAGAGTTTGGACAGAGGCCGGGCCTGTCACCATCAGCCTGCGCCGCACCAGCGACGGGGGCGTGTCATGCTTCGACTTCCTTTTGGCGCCGTCTGATTGGGGACGCTCGGTAATGCGCAGGCGTTTTTTGTGGCCCAGTCGACGTCGCGCTTCGTTCCTTCTTCCTGGTTAAAGATACACCCACCGGACGACACTCCGGTGGTATTGCTCGGCTGCTCCTCGACCCAGGCACCGCTACCGTATTCAGGAACTCGCTCCCACATCGCCATCTCGACGGCCTCACGGACTGAGGGCGCAGGACCAGACCTTGCCGGCGCGACAAACCTCCCGGGCATGGACGTGCGCGTCGATCTCCCCCACATCCCAGGCGCATCATAAGCCAGCTCCCTCGTCCTCCTCCGCCCGTGGTGAGAGACGAGCGATGGAAGTCGCGACTGCGACACACTCCAAGACGGAAGGGGCCCCGCACCCACCGGAGGAAGGCACCACCACCACCGGCCAGAGTCGCATCGCCCACACTCTGACAGCCTGCTGTCGTTGTCGGACGGTAAGCATCATCCCGGAGCTGGCTGGCCACGTAATGTCCACTGACCAGAGCCCAGCGCAAGACGAGATGCGACCCCGGACTCCCTCGATGCGGGCCATGCGAGCGCACCAATTCCCACTGCGAATACTATGACCCCACCAAGGGACGCAAAATACCCCGGAACTATGTCGTGCACCTGCAGCAGAAGGTGCGCGACCTGGAGAAGCAGCTGGCTGATCTCGAACGGGACGACGTGGAGCCGGACCCTGAAGATGTGATGCGTGGGGCAGCCACGGTGCGTGTCCAGGACTCCGACGAGTCCAAATTCCTAGGGCCTTCCAGCGGTATCACCATCACCCGGCTGGTGATGCAGCTGGCGAAGCAGTTCACCGAGTCAAAGAGCATCTCTGAGATCGTGCCACATGCCGAGGCGAAGAACATCAAGGACACCTTCGCCCAGGAAGATCAGCGACCCACCTCCAAGATCTACCCAATGGTCAGCGACGTCGCGGCCGAAGAACTGCCCAACAGAGACCTCACCAACCTACTGGTAGAGCTCTTCTACTGCAAAGGCGCGTAAGGCTGTCTCCTTGCAACTCCGACATCAACTGACTTGACTAGTGCACCCCATGTACCCCATCTTCCACGAACCAACCTTCACCAAAGATGTCGATGAGGTCTACAACGGCTCCACGGACCCCTACCAGAACTACTGTCTGCGCATGGTCATCGCCATCAGCCTGCAGAAGATGGACACCCAGTATGCAGGTCTCGCCGACAGCTACTATCTCGCCGCCCTGAAACACTTCGAAGCCGCCATCAAGCCTATGAACCTCAAGACCCTGCAATGTTTTGGCCTAGTCGCAGGCTATTCGCTCTTGACACCAACGAGGACCGCAGTCTACTACATAATAGGTCTTGGCGTACGATTGTGTCAAGCCTTGGGCCTACACGAGGAGAAGACAATCAGCATGGGCTCTGGTGGACGTCAGGCAGACCCTCTCGAAGTCGACATGCGCCGCCGGTTGTTCTGGAGTATACTTACCATGGATTACGGCTTGTCGCATAGTCTTGGACGACCCGCACACTTCGCGACACGGCGGGAACACATCGATGTCAACTTCGGCGAGCTCGTCGACGATGTGTACATTACCAGGGAAGGCATCAAACCCGCACCACAAGCATCGCTCAAGAAGTGGATCGGCATTCATTTCTACAAAATGCGCCTGCTCCAACTCGAGATTCGCAAGATGCTGTACCAGAGGAAGAAGCCCGAACCAAAGGATGACCAGCACCCTTGGTTCGCTCAGATGCAGACAAAGATAGAAGCTTGGAGAGACACAAGCCCTGAGATGGACGGTGGATCAGGGCTTAACAAGGTCTGGTGAGTATGTCTATTTGCATCCAAAGTACCTCGACTAATGCGACTAGGTTCATCGGTCGATACAATACCATGGTCGTCTTCATGTACCGTCCTTCTCCACAAGTACCTCGCCCGTCCCTGGACGCCGCCATCCGCTGCTACGACGCTTGCCAGTACAACATCTACATGACTATGAAGCAGATCGAGACAAAGAGCGTCGACGTTACCTGGATCTTCACACAAGCTATCTTCATGTGCATCAATACTATGCTTTGGACATTGTCATACTCCGAGGTGCGGAGACGTCATAGCCGCGAAGAGGTCGAGGGTCACTTGAAAGTGGCTATGGAGTCGATCAGGCAGGCTTCCGAGCGATGGCCTGGTGTTGAGTCCGCCATCGGTCTTTACTATAACTTGATCCAAGCCTGCATGAGGATCTTCGACAAGGATGGCGACGTTCCCATCTCCGCCAGCTCACCTTCCGACACTGCATCCGTGGGCACTGGCAACATTGTAGATGGTATCAATCGGTCACGAACCACAAGTCCAGCAACGGCGTCTACAGCATCGGTTCGCACGCCTTCCGACAAGGTACCAGGGCCTGGACCTTTCGGCTACTTACCGGAACACAATCAGCAACTCTTCAACCTTGGCAACGGCCTATCGAACCCTCCCAACCCGTTCTCAAGTGCACCGACACAACAGGCTGGACTGCAGACGTCGCCTCAGCAGCCCCCATCATTGGCATACAACGAGCTGAGCCCGAAGACCACGATGGACAACAATATACCCTCCTACAGCTACGCACCTACAGGCCAATTCGCGCCGCTACCCACTACCTTTGCCGAGTTACCTACATGGAACCCAACGTTCACGATGCCGCCTCAAGACAACTACAACATGACAAATATGCAGATGGCTTCATCGCCTTTCTATAACGAGGCGTACGCAGCGAATCAAGGCTACGAAATGGCAGACTATCTCAACCCGGCCTGGAGTCAGGATGCCAGGGGTACTGGGCTCAATCAGCAACAGCAGATGGAGCTGATGCACGACTTTGAAATGAATGAGGCCAAGAACATCGAGATGATGATTGAACAGAGTCACCAACTTTTCCGTCCACCGCAACTACAGCAAACCTACTGAGCGCGCAGTCAATGTGCGACCATCGAACCGGAACATTAAACACACTAGATCCTGGCTTATCCGCATTGGAGTACGAAGACTGATACTACGCGATTCAAAGCGGACATCAACCTGGTCGGCTGTCATCTCGATGTTTGAAGATCTGACGCATTGGAAGGATCATTTCCCGGCTTGGCATTCGCGTACGAAAGGTTCTCGCATGCCGATCTTGTCGATCCTATCCAGCAGATCCGTCCGGTGGCAGCTGAATCAGATCAATTGCATGAGTAAGATTCTCTGGGGGCCAGAACCAAAATTTCGCCCCAGGGATCCTGAGTCGCCCGGGATGGTCCTTGCACTTCGATCAACTTTGCGACGTCCAGCCTGTGCCGGCTCCGATGAACAAACCTCAGGGCGAATAAACGCATGGGAATGCAAACAAAAACTCAGCGGAAGCCAAGACCGGGATGACTGGCTTGGATTCTGTAAAGAGAAGTGATTGTAGGATCATAGCGCCAGGCAGATGCATGACATGCAGCCCAATAAGGAAGCGCTCCAAGCAACAAGACATCATGCGATATAGATATTCAGCTGGACTGAATAACCTTCACATACAATGTATAACAATCACGATCAATTCATCCATCCTTCTGTTCAGACTCTCGACTGTTGCCATATCGCACTCCCTAATACCACCCTTCCACGAGCCCTTTCTCCATCCCTCTTCCTATCCCATCCCCAACTTACTCTCCCTCCTCAATCCCACCTAACCTCCCCACCTCTCTATCAACCCACACCCCAACCCGCCCCACAACCTCCTCAATATTAACATCCACCTCCATTTCCTCCTCATCACTCTCATCCACAACCTCTTCCCACACATCCCTCATAACCTGGTACACCCAACACCCGCCCTTCATCACCGTGACATGTTCCCAATCGTTTACAATTGGACGCGTGTCGTCTAGCTCTTCGATCAGGTCGATGAGACTGGTCAAGGGCTCGGACTGGTGGTCTGACAGAATGTTTTCAAGCGCGATGCGGGCGCCGCGTGTGAAGGGGGTGAGGTCGCGGGGGGTTAGTGGCGGGAAGGGCGCGAAGGTTTGGGGTGCGAGGGGGGTTAGGATGGTTGGAGAGGCAATGGATGGCGTTTCGGTTTTCGAGGGAGATGACGGAGATACTGGGCGTGAATCAGGCGTATTAGCAATGAGCGGAGGCGAAGGGCTGTTTGGTACTACGGCGGTGTCTGACCACGTATCCGAGAAGACGTTCTCTTCTGCGGGCATAGCGGTTTCTGCGGGAGGTGGCTCGAACAACTCAAAGGGTGAGGACATGGCACCTCTTCGCGGCCGTGTTGTAGTATTCCGCTTTGGCTGTGGAGCTACCGGAGCCTTTTTCGCCACTTTTGCGACTGACGGCGCTGGTGGTTTGGGCTTGTTTGCGTCTTGCTTGGCCTTGGAGAGGTTAGTAGGTTGCTTTCCACGTGTGGTCATTCCGCTTCGCGTTTGTCGGGGTTCGCGCGTCGTACCGTTCCTTGAGATGGGTTCCGGGTCGGCCGTTTCGACATCGACAGCGTCGTCTCGATCCACTGCCACTTCTTCCTTTCTGCCAAAGACAAGTGTCTTAAGCTTGCTCGTAATCTTGCCGGTAGCTTTGCGCGTCGCTCGCTTTGTCTCTTTGATACTCTTGGCAGGGGCCTCTTCCTTCATTTCCTCGCCCTCGTCATCTGAGTCTACAACTTCCGCACTCTTGTATGGTTTCGGTGGACGTCTGCGCTTGGGGTGGTGATTGGGTCCTGAGACGTGTACCGGGTTGGGCGCAGACGGTTTACGGGTCTTGAGCTTGACGATGAGACTTGGTGGGTCGGTAGGAGTCGTGCTGTCCTTCATCGAAGGTGGCAGGTTGGCGGGCGGTTTGCTGGGTGTGTTCTCGGCTTGCTGTTTGTTCATTAGTTTGATTGGGCTAGATGATAAGAGCGGCGTACCTACCTCAGATAATCTGCTTCGAGTGCGAAGACGCGGAGATGCCGCTAGGTTGTTTTGCGTTTTCCTGCTCTTGGCTGTCGGTGACGAGGGTGTCGGTGAAAGCGTAGCGCTCGTGTCTCCCAATTCAGAATTGAGACCGAAGAGATGGCGCTTAGGATTCTTCGCGTCGCTATTGGGCGTGCCGTGGGTCAGGCGCATTCTCTTTTGCCTGGCTTCCACTGCGATAGCAATTCTGGCGGCTTCGATGTCTTTCGTCTTCTTTCTGCCTCTCTTAAGCTTGCCTTTTCCTTTGGATGGCTTTCCGTAGTCTGACTCGGATTCGTAGAACTGTTCTTCCGCGCTATCTGGCTCGTCATAGTCTAATAGCTCTCTCGATTCTATGACTTCTTCCATCTCATGTGACTGCTCGCGTGGCTGCTCATTTTGGTTATCAGGTCGCTGGGAGGGTGTCGCATCTTTCACCAGAGACTCGTGCTCGGCAGTGCTTTCGCGTTCTGGGACTGACTCTGCATTGCGACGTGTGTTTTCGTCGTAAAGCGCTCCGATAGCATCGAGCACCCGCTGCACAACGGAAACTACTGGAACTCCTGCTTTGATCGACTCCGGAACGTTTACGTCGATGGCAGTGTCGAAAGCGAGTCGGCCACGATGATGAATATCGGGTAGCAGCTCTAATTGTGTCTCGAAGTTTTGTCTGCGCTTGTGAAGCTCTGCAAAGCTCCTAATGTCGTCAAGTGTCCCATTTTTTATCGCATCGTTGATTTCATCTTGAGTAGAACCCATAGCTTGTTCTCGTGCTGCAACGAAGAGGCGGGGTGGAACAGATGATAGGGATGGAAAGTGGGAAGCAGTGCGCGAACAGGAGTCGCAATCAGACCCTTTAGTCGTGATCCTTGCGCTAAATATTTCTTCAAGCTTGGGGGAGGGATTGATGATGTTGCGACACGGCAAGTTCAAAGATTACCTAGGTAAGTAAGTGGGAAGTGTGCTCGGGCCCCCTGTCCGGCTCCCGAGGTCGTCACGGCCAGTCTACTACACGCAGCGCAGCTGCCGGTCTTATCAACACTCATAGTCGCGTGATCAAACGAAAATTATAGGTAGCAGTAAGTACATCGCTAAGATACATGGTCGATGGTCTCTTCTCCGCGTCTCCGCTCGTACTGACCGTGATACTGATATTGTGATTTACCCGTGCCGTAGGCGTGCTGTGGCTTCTGGGTTGAGCAATGTTGCAATGTTGTATTTCGTAAAGGTCGTTGGAACCCCCAGGCTCATCATCTGCGACAGGTTTCATGTTCAAGTACATACGGCTGAAGCCGACATTTTCTTGAAGCAAAGTCTACGTTCGTTGAGAGTCCCTGCTGCAGACTACTGGGTCTCTTAGTGAAAATGCTTTCCACATTCAGCTACACCACAATGTAACTGAGTGAGCGTGCAGTAGACCCACTGGATGCTTCTAGAATACCATTGGGCTGCAGCATGACTATTGCAGCAAACTTTGCCTTCTACATCAATACATCAAGCGCGATCATAACAGCTCGATACCATAGATCTTATTTGGTACGCACAACCGCCATAGACATCACCACCTAGGTAACCCAGCATTGCTCGTACGAAGATAGTGACTAGCAGAAGCAGAAGAACAAGCAAGAAATGAAGCGGAAGAGGGGGTCTCACCTCGTCGTGATGAGCCCAGAGTGGAGCAAAGTGAGCGAAGTTCTAACACACCAGCAAGCCTTTCGTGCCGGCGTGGACTACGTATGCGACATTCTCATTCGCCTTGTCAGACATCCCGACTTAAGCTATCCTCCTTCGTCGGTCAGTACCGTGTCTGCCAGCATCAACGGATATAGATCACGCGTCAACAACTCCAGATCCACCGGAAGAGCTTCTTCGTTATCATGCATTCAAGACTTCCATGCTGGTGCCACGACGGCTTTGACGAACATGGAACTGAGAGCAGTAAACAGTCGACTCATACGGGAAGCGAAAGACATCATCGCGTGTTTGGAACTGTTGGTGCACCATGAGTTTGTACGTTTGATGGAGCTAGAGATATACGGAAGGCGGTCGGATCCGGACGCTATGCGAAGAATGGACGAGTTACGAACTGTCAGACGGATGGTGGGTACGATAAAGCTGATGAGGTGAGTCTCGGGATTGAGGGCGATGGTGTCGGAGGTGAAGTACGGTCCAAATGTTCAGGTATGTCGCCCTTTGGCATGCTGAAATCGAGGTCTTGGTCATGTTCGCGATGTAGAGAAGAAAGAAGGAGCATTCGCGTGTGGTGACGTAATGCCGATGAGCCGATTGGCCAGGATCCAAAGCTAATCCCAATCCAGACTAAGCCTCCTTTTGTGTGCTGAAAGTCAACAGAATCCCATTCATTGTCGTCTCCTCTGTGCGCATTCGTTCTCTACATGTTTTCACCATCGCACGCTCGCTCGCCGAACTTCCTATCTGCACACACTGCCAAATGCACAACGGATTACCTAGGTATCGTGTTTATAATCAGCATAATGTGACAGCAAGGTCAAGGTGAAATGACAAAGCGTGCATTTCACACAACACGACAAGGCACTCGAACTGTATATTATGAGTCCCACCGTCGACGCAAATCATTCTACGCCCCGTCGCTCAACTAATCATGTCTCAACCACCAGATGATCACCCAGCCACCGCTGTCGACGGATCTCAGAAACCCAAAAAGAAATCTAGAATTCCACGTCGAGACAATAACACCACCCAGGACCATGCCTGGCAGCTACCTAATACCAACAGCTTGGACAATCCATTTTTATACGCCACCACCCAATACACTATTCTTTCTAGTCTTGTCGAGCACCTTCGGCCCCAAGATGTTCTCCGACTAGCTCAAACTTCACAGACGGTGTACTCAAACTTGGACTTCTCAAGCGCCGCTAGCCGTACCAATCTCCGTACAAAGGTACTGTGCCCAGGCTTTGGTGTCCAACAACGCAAGCATAAGCACAAGCCTGCTGGCGAAGGAGATTGGCACGTGCAAGCATCGTGTGGCAGCGAGGTCAACGATCCAGATATGGAGAGCCGTCCGTGTGTCACCTGTGGCATGAACACTTGCGATGAATGCAGGTTACATGTGACGTACCATTCCATGACCGAGGATAATGGACCACACGGATTAAGGTGGTGGGCAGGCCACATCATGACGAAGAACGCTGCCGTTCGCCTTCTCCCGCCTAACGAGCCCATCTACCGGTACCCACCTGGAGACGATGAAGAACAGCCACCCTGGAAGCTACCGCTTGGCAAGGGTCGACCCCAGCATGACTGTGGCCGTCTCGGCTTACCGTTTGACTCCAATCTAGTGGCCCAAGCCGAACCGATTGACAATCTACTTGATCAAAATCTTGGCGATACTCTATTCCTCAGAACCAAGGGTAGTTCACTTTGCTCTTCCGGTTTCAGGCCTGTCGCTGGACCGCTGTTTTCGGTTACTGCAGGTCGTCTTAAGCGACTCTGCACGACGTGCTCAGCCACGGAGGTCAAGCACCAGTGTACGTGCACACTTCGAAAGCGGTTTCTCGATCGATGGCTGTGTATTGAATGCTACCTGGAGAACGAAGCTAACCCTGGTGGTGCGGCAATGTTGGAGATGCTGGCGGGAGATGAACCAGGAGAATGTCCATGTGGGAGCTCATTCGATGCACAGGACCAAGATTCGTGGCTTGTATGCGAGTGGTGCGATGGTCGGGTGACCGGGTCTAAGAAGGCCACTGAAGAAGAGGAAAGGGCGAAGGATTTCGTACCGAATGAGGAGGACGAAGACAAGGAGGGTGCCTGGCCGGAACAGCTTTCAGATGGGGACCGTCCCAATCTGGATGGCAATCTGATTGACCAAGCCATCGTGGCTGCTGGCTCTGTCGCGCCTCGTGGTCTGCATCGACACTTCGTCTGTCATGAGTGGCTTACCCGGAAGCAACATCTGCAGATGGAAGCATACAAAACGAAAATGGAAGAGGGCAAGGAGGTGGAATTCAGTTTCTATTGGTCCCGCCATTGGAGGTAGAGAAGCAGTAACGGGGAAGTTAGGGGTTCAGCTTACGATGTATATCGGAGCTGCTCTAATATCATACTATACACTAGCATCCACTCATAGTTCAATGAAAGTAGTCGAACAACAATGAGCGAGGCCATACGAGCAAAGGAAACCCTGTTTGTCACATACCCTTCTTTGTAGTCAAACTATTTCTACCATAGCAAGCGTCCATGTGCCGATCTAGATATTCATATACGTCATCAAAGTGTATCATCCATGTTGTGCACTGAATAAGCTTCTCAACTAGGAGGCGAACTTTTACTAGACATACAGATCCACACACAAACACATACACTTCCGTCTAATGTCTCACAACACGTTCTTCCCCTTTCTAGACGATGCCGCCTATTCCCGTCGCCGCAACGCCGAACTCATGCTTGCGTACCAGCGGCAGAAGAACAAGATTGAAGCAATGGCACCCTTTTCTACGCCTGATTTGAAAGCGGAATACAGTACCAAGTATAGGGATCTACATGCAAAATTGGGCGGTGTGCAAGAGCGCGACGACATTGTGAGGGAGGCGATGAGAATGACTCTGGGGAACATGACGCGGGATGAGATCATGACTTGGGTCCTGAGAAGTGAAGCTTATGGTAGCGAGAGCAGGTACTAGAAAGGAGGAAGGTTGCGCATGTTACAAAGTGCAAGGGAGCTGGTCGCTTTCTGAAGGTTATGGTAGTGAGGAGATGTATTATTGATACGAACATTCTGTGCTTCTAAATGCTAGCCATTCTTGAGCGCCGATGATGCAAATGCCGATGCTACGCCAGACCGAGACACCAATTACGCTAATACGCCCGACATGCAAAACGCCATTACCCGAGCCCGATGGGTCAAAAGAAAAAAACGACGACACAGACATCTACGCTTCTTCTTGGGCCGCTGGCATCCCTGACCATGCAGTCGATGTACAACTCGTGCGCGCCTCGTGTTCATCAGCCTTCCTCGCATCGCGAACCGCAGCGTCAACGGCATCGTGAAGATCAAGATGGAAGAACGGCCTATCAACCCCGTAAATCGGGTAAAACTTCTGCTTCTCACTCGTAGAAGACAACTGCACCTCAAGTGCATTTGTTTCCGTGGAGTCTTTGCCCTGCTCTTCGTCCCTGACTCCCATTCCCCTCCTTGCAGCTTCTACTTCTTTTTGCTCTTCGCATGACGCGCCTGCGAGACTTGCCGATACGGTGTAGGTAGGACACCAGTTTCCTGTGTACTCTGCAGTTACGACAGCAGGGAAACCAAAACCTGCAAAGGCTAGCGCTTTGCGTGTCCACCGGTTGTGAACACCAGCAAAGTGCCATTCGACCAAACCAGGCGCTGCATGGCGATCAAGCGTCTCGCGTAAGCTCTTTAATCCGTCGATGCTGGTAATGTCGAGAATATTGACGGTGGAGAAGTCAAGAACAACGGCTCGCAAGACGGGCAGACATGACGACTCTTCGATGAGCTTCTCCGTGGGTGGCGCGTCGCACCACAAACGATCGCATGCGCGGATACCGTCATCCGCTTGAGTCCGGCGAGTGTTTGAGGTAATGTATGAGGTAAGGTAGTCAACATGATAAGCTTGGTTGATGTAGTTGAAGTTCTCGCTGAAGCGATAGATGAAGACGCCGGGGTATGCTGGCTCTACGGTCATGTTCGGGTTGTGGTTGTCTGTGACGTCGTAGGGCATATACACTTGCCGAGCTTCCTGCATAGCTACAGC